CCCCCGAGATAGACCTCGTACGAGCTCCAATACAACAAACAGACTCAGCAGCAACCCTCACCCCGCCACTAAAAATATCCCGGCACCATGAGAGTAGAGCGTAGCCACCCCACTAAAATCCAACCGAACAGAAAGTACGGACACGGAGCTGCGGGAGCGGGGCTAGAGGAGGCCAAAGGGATGGTCCGAGGGCTGGAGCACCTCTGCTGCGAGGACGGGCTGGGAGAGCTGGGGCTGCTCAGCCTGGAGAAGAGAAGGCTGCAGTGAGACCTTACAGCAGCCTGCCAGTGCCTGAGGGGGCCTGTGGGAAAGATGGGGAAAGTGTTCTCAGCAGGGCTTGTTGTGACAGGACAAGGAGCAATGGCTTTAAACTGAAAGAGGGCAGATTCAGACTGGATATAAGGAAGGATTTTTTTACCATGAGGGTGGTGAGGTGCTGGCACAGGTTGCCCAGAGAGGTGGTCGATGCCCCATCCCTGGGAACATTCATGGCCAGGTTGGACGGGGCTCTGAGCAACCTGGTCTGGTTGAAGATGTCCCTGCTCACTGCAGGGGGGTTGGGCTAGATGGCCTCTAAAGGTCCCTTCCAACGCAAAGCATTCTGTGATTCTACCTCATCTGGCAGATGCTCCAAGCCCTGAATATACCTACCACCATCTGCTGTGGCATTTCAAAGCGTTTGGTCTCCATCGCCACATCTCCAGTCAATTTTTCTGGGAGCCAGTGGAGTACCTTCACCTTTAATAACCCTTACGCTGTTTTCCCCCTCACATTTTCCCAGTTGCTTTCTGAAGCTCTGTAAGCTCGGAGCACCCTCAGCCCCCTCAGCCCAGGAGTTGCGGAGGTGCCTGTCCACCCCGTACAGAGCTACCTCCCCTGCTGTGCTTTGTAGGGCTCCCCGAGCTCATACTGCTTCTGCCAAAAGGGGCAAATTGTTCCCTTCTCCACTCAACCTTTCTTTTATGAAGCTGCTGTCCTATCTGCTTTCAATTGTCCTTTCCATTTTTCCAAGCCATCATCCAGGGAAATCATTGCTCATACGGAAACTCTTCTACAACACTGATTCCCTTTCTTCTTCTTGCTGTGCTGTTTTTGTGCTGCTGTGTCCTCTCCTGGATGGGGCCGGGGCTCGTGACTCACGCTGCATTCAAGATGCAGGTGCCCCAGACATCTGTGTAATGGTACTAAGTGGTTTTCTGGTTTGCTCGCTTCGTATTCCCTACTGATTCCTAATATTAGGTGGCCTTTCTGCCCGCTAAAGGGTACTTGAGCTAACGTTGTCATTCAACTATCGCAGCAAAGATCCCACTTCTGGGATGCTTAGACAGTCTGAAGCACGCAAGGCTGGGATTGCTTTTTTCCACAAGCACAGCTGTAAATACATCAGTATGAAATTTTATCTTTTTGTCACGCATTTTTCATGCTACACATACCTATGATTGTCACTCAGCCTGGTCATCCTTACTCACACCCCTTAGAGAAAACGGTGAAGAGCAAAGGTCCTTGCAGCACCCCACGAGTGACTTTCTGCATGAAATCTGGCTGCTTATTTTTGTCTTTTGACCAGTTATTTAGGCTCCGTGGACCCTTCCTCTCCTCCCCTGGTGATTTAATTTCTTTAAGAAGCTTTGACTAAGGACCTGCTCAAATGTCCTATGGAAATGTAAAAATGTAAACAGGCTACTTTCGTCCAGGTCTCTTACCTACATGTTGAGTCCTTCAAAAGCCTCTCTGAGGCAAAGTTTTCTTTGAGAGAAAAAAAAAAAAAAAAAAGCATTGATTCTTCCATGATCTGTTTTGTTCTTTTGGACACTTTTCTCAGGTGTTTTTTTTAATAGTTTCATCCAACTTGCATTGCGTGGGTGTCAGAGCTGCTTATTGCTCTGGAAAGTTTGTAAAGATTGCTCTTGCATTTGTCACCTTTTGAGCTTCTGGTGCTAGGACAGCTTCTAACTCCTACCCAAGTCTGTAATCCCGATTTTTCATACTCGAGGGCCTGTTGCGCTCGCTGGAGAACACGCCTGTCCTGATGACTTGTCCATTTTCTTCCTTTGCTTGTTTGGTTGCTTTGCCCTCTGTTCCCGCTGGTCCTTCAGCCCAGCGCAGATGCTGTCCTTCACCGGAGGAGTCAGGGCACGGCTGGCCACGGCGCTGCTGCACCGGGAGGGCAATGGTAGACGCAGTGCTTTACATTGTCTGTGATACTTCATGCTCTTCATGACAGGCTGTGTCACCTGGGCAAGCAGCAGGGACGTCCTGAGGCCCTGAGGACCTTTGAAGGCTTCGTTCTTGTTTCACAGCCACCATCCAGCTAAGAAGCGTGCCAGATGAAATGAACTGTGCCAGAAGGTTCATACAAATAACCAGACTTTTCCTATTGTTGTAGTCACTTTGGCTGGCTTGTTTCTATGGTCAAAATATACTTCTGATTCTGTTTCTAGAAAGTCAGACACGTTAGTTAGTCTAAAAGGAAGTACCAAATAATTTCCTTTATTAACAGTGTATGTTTAGGTGAAAGGCTTTGATTTTGTTTGTATACAGAGAGCAAATGTTCTGCATAGAGCATAGACAGTGGTTTTGCACAGAACAGGAGACCTCAATTTTAATGTTTACAAAACAGAAAGATGAAAGGGCTGAGAGTATCTGTTTTTGTCAGCTCAAAGGGAAGATTTAGAGAAGGAGCTTGGAAGTGTTTGTTGCTGTGGTGTAACTCCTCTTTGGGCTCAGTCCTGCAGTTCTGCCTCATGTGTGCACTCCTAAAAGACTGAGGAAAAAAAGAATCAAGAAATAACCGAGAAACATCCAAGAAACATCAACATATTGGTTAACTGGACAGAAACCCAGGACACCATTAAGCTACAACAAGAGTGATGGGCAGTAAAGTTTCCTACATTTGAACGTACTTCAAAATACAGAAGTGGAAAAAATAAAATAAAATACAGCAACTTGCATTTACATTCAAGATCAAATTTGGATGAACAGCTTCACAGACGTGTTTGTTCTGGAGTTCCTCGGCAAGAGCTGTAGCCCACATGAGTAGGCAAGGGTGAGCACTATCTAATTAAAAATGAGCTATAAATATTCAAGTATCACTAAACGTGGCCTGATTCTGCCTGTCTTCCTCGCAGAGCACAGGGATTGGCCTCCTGATGGCTTCGTTACAGGTATGGAGTGAGGTGCTACTCGGTGCAAAGAAGAGGTGCAGAATCGGGACCACAACGATCAGCAGTTACAAAGTCAACTAACTTTCTCAGAGGTTGCTCAGGGTTAGACTTTTAAAGGCATTAAAAAAAGGTGTTAGAAACTAACAACAGGGGCACTGCTGAACTCCATCAGGTGCTAAATTATATTGGTAGGTCCCTAAATGCCTTTAAAAATCTGTCCCAAACACACAGTTTCTTCATGTAACAGGGCAAAAAAAAGAAAATCGCTTAAATGTCAATGAATTCATTAAGCCAGACTTTGGTAAGCCACGGGGACTTCCAGATTAACGCCTGCTCCGTCAGAAGCCGGCACGCTTATAACAGTCCCTGGCGGTATTTATTCCTTAGCACGAACCCCGTGTTTCTGCACAGAGCGCAGGGACGCCACGCTGCCCGCTCCTTCCTCCCGTGGAAACGCCGTGCAGCCGGTGTGGGTGCCGAGAGGTGAGCTGCTCTGCTCGGCTGCCAGATTTGATCTCAGGCGAAGCTCAGCTGAACTCCAGAGGAGTGGAAACGGTGATGGGTGGTACGTGGCTCTCGGAGCTGAACCCTACAGCTCACGTTCACGCGTGTGACCGCTGGCTGCGGGGTAGGACTATCCGTGTATGTCTCCAGTTTTGTTAGCAGCATGTCATGAAATCCGGTGCGGCTCTGCGAATGATGTTAAAAGCGGGGATCTACGGGGAATCTGTTAGAAGTGCACTTTTGTCATGCAGAACTGTGTAATGGATCCTGCTTCCTTGGTGGGCAATGAGGCAGAAGATGGTTAATATTGCTGACAGCAGAACCAGTCCAATGAAAAAGAAGGCTGTGAGTATCAGGCTGGCTTCTCCAGGACTCAAAGTTTTGCCAAAAAAATTGCCCCCTTTGCTGTCATCATCTGTTAAAAGAAAAATAGTTCATAAGAAATCAGCATAATTCATAAGAATTCAGCATAAACCTGAAGAGTTTTAAATGACGTTTTAAGAAATCCTTACCCTCTTCAGTGGTCCTGTTTTTTGCAGTAGCTGTATCGTATGCTCCAGTTGTGAGTCCACCTTCTGAAGGAGCTTCTCTCTCTGTGCAGAGAAAGAAAAAGCAAAGTGAAATTGAAAGCCTTAATAAACACTTTTTGTCTTCTGGAAAAGTACCCCTGATTTTATTTAATTCCTTCTACCTTGTAGCCCTGAACAGAAATCCTGATTAGATCAACACAGCTATTGCTCTGGGCAGCTCCATGGGCAACATCCACCTTCTCTATAGGCACCTCTGTTACTTCACTACTAACTGTAGTGATAGGATGAGGGGCGATGACTTTAAACTGAAAGAGGGTAGATTTAGATTGGACATAAGGAAGAAATTTTTTGTGATGAAGGTGGATGAGGCCCTGGCACAGGTTGTCCAGAGAAGCTGTGGATGCCCCATCATTGGCAGTGCTCAAGGCCAGGTCGGATGGGGCGTTGAGCAACCTGGTCTAGTCAAAAGTGTCCCTGCCCATGGCAGGTGGGTTGGAACGAGATGACCTTTAAAGGTCCCTGCCATCTCAAACCATTCTATGGTTCTGTGATTCAGTTCTGCATTTGCTTGTTCATTTGAAGTTTCACAGCCTGAATGAAGATGTGGCATAAAATAAATACACCATGTCCAAGGAAGGAGTATTTTGGCTATGTTTGGCTTTATGTTTGTCTTCCAGCTGCTACAGGGTTACACATATGAGTTGTGCCTGCTGGAGCTGTTGCAGCCCCTGTGGAGGAGTATAGCAAGCACAGTACAGACCCAGGCAGGAGACGCTGCACCCAGTTATTAAATGAAATTATGTGATGTGAAGAGGTTCACAAAGCACTTCTCACAAGTGGTGGAAGGGACCAGCACCAGTCAGAGAGTTTACCAACTTTTCTTTGCAAAAGATCACCTATTTCTTGGACAGGATGAACAATCATTTTCTGGAGCATCTTGTACCTGTCTCAGCTGGTCTCTGCCTGTGCAGGAAGGAGCTCGAACAGCCCCGTGAGCCAGCAGCGATCGCAGGGAGGAACCAGCGCTGTGCCAGTCTGCAAACCCTCCCATACATCACGTGGCAACAAGGCTCAAAAATAGCTGTGCAGCTGTCTTCTGCACCACCTGAGGGTGACGAATGGCTGCTGCTGTCTTAGAGGGGCTCTTGTGAAGCACCAGCTGTTTAAGCTGCAGAGTGCAGCAAAGATTACTGTTCTTGCCATGTCATGAGGGGTGCTTGTCCTGGCCCTAGACGATGCTAACTGGTCGTGGCAGTGATTTAGAGGTGCTTCCCACTGGCATGTAGGGTGCAGAGTTGACATTAGCTCTCTTCCTTTTCTCCCTGCCTTCCATCACATCTGCTGTGATGCCACCTCCAAGTCCTCGGACATGTTTCTGATACTGCACCTGATTTATTGATGGTGTAGGTCGTCTCCATGCCAGCGTGGATGTGATCGGCTACGTGGCAGTGCAGAAGCCACGTTCCAGGGTTTTCTGCCACGAGCTCAACTG